AATGTGTGTGCTATCCTGAAGTGTGATAAACGATGGTATCACAATGTGTGTGCTATCCTGATATGTGTGATATACGATGGTATCACAATGTGTGTGCTTTCCTGATAGGTGGGATATACGATGGTATCACAAAGTGTGTGCTATCCTGATATGTGTGATATACGATGGTATCACAATGTGTGCAGTATCACGATGTGTGTGATATATGATCGTATCTTAATGTGTGTGCTATCCTGATGTGTGTGATAAACGATGTTATCCTGTTGTGTGTGATAAACGATGTTATCCTGATGTGTGTGATAAACGATGTTATCCTGATGTGTGTGATAAACGATGTTATCCTAATGTGTGATAAACGATGTTATCCTGATGTGTGTGATAAACGATGTATCATCCTGATGATCTGATGTGTGTGATAAACGATGTTATCCTGATGTGTGTGATAAACGATGTTATCCTGATGTGTGTGATAAACGATGTTATCCTGATGTGTGTGATAAACGATGTTATCCTGATGTGTGTGATAAACGATGTTATCCTGATGTGTGTGATAAACGATGTTATCCTGATGTGTGTGATAAACGATGTTATCCTGATGAGTGTGGTAAACGATGTTATCCTGATGTGTGTGATAAACGATGTGATCCTGATGAGTGTGGTAAACGATGTTATCCTGATGTGTGTGATATACGATGCCATCACAATGTGCATGCGGAGTCAGACATACTAGGTGAGAACAGCCTTTCAGTCCCAAGTGTGTTGTTTTAATCAGTGAATCAGTCTGTGCAAGATGGGCAACATCTGTGACGACATGGTATGCTGCGATGTTGAGACTACAGCACCCCCACCACCGGGGTGAGCAGACAGCAACATTGCATACCGCATGTATCAGTGATGACATCAACCACCTGCGCCTCTCTCTGCCAGCCATACATACCCCAGACAGGCGGCATAACCTGCAGCATCAGCAGTGTTCCTCACATACGATGTAAACCATCTACAGATATAGGACATGGTGAGTGTGTGTGTATGTGTGGATATGTGTGCATGCGGGAGTGTATGCGAGTGTGTATGTGTGGGTGTGAGTCTGAGTGGATTGACTGAGAGTTTGAGTGTCATTACTGAGTGAGCGTGATGTAAGAGTGAGGAGTGCATGTTCACCAAATAGGCTGAGCTTGTTGATTAAGAGTGAGTGAGTTTGAGAAAGCAAATGATTAAATAAGCCTGAGTGTGTGGGTGACAGTGTGTGAGATTGATTGAGTGAGTGAGTGGTGAGAGTTCACGTCTATGTAGTAGACTGAGGGTGTGGAGGGAACTCTGGCCCACATACAATCAGGAGGTTCCATGGTTCGCAGGATGTTTGAGTTGATAATTCAAATTTGAGATGTTCAATATAAAAGTTGGAATGGCTGTTTGTTTGGTATGCTGAATGCCTATATCTGCCCTTGTTTTGTCAACACTGACATGCAGATGAACCTGGTGTAGATCAACACCTGGCATGAAACCCAAATGCACGTCATGATAACAGATACATGTCCATTGTATCAGAGTGGATATCAACATTGAAAAGCTATTTTCTGAAAAACTGATTTCAATCAATATAATAATTTGTTGTATCATACTGCCATCAATGGACAAGATATTAATGTTCTCATACACACACAAAGAGATGATCTGAGACATTCACAGCAGTGTGCAGTCATGGTTGAAACATATTCTCTGTAGCATCCACACAAGTCACACAGATGATCTTACAAGCCTTTGGAAAACTACTTTGTAACTGTTGTTCCTTAAATTCCCTTTCTCTGACAATAAACTATTGAGTTGGCATTACATGTAAGAATGTTCTGCAGTTATTACATGGGTTACTTGAATACCACCAGTAGATAGTACTTGCTGTCATTATGTCAAATGTAAGAATGCTCTGCAGTTATTACATGGGTTACTTGAATACCACCAGTAGATAGTACTTGCTGTCATTATGTCAAATGTAAGAATGCTCTGCAGTTATTACATGGGTTACTTGAATACCATCAGTAGACAGTACTGGCTGTCATTATGTCAAATGTAAGAATGCTCTGCAGTTATTACATGGGTTACTTGAATACCATCAGTAGACAGTACTGGCTGTCATTATGTCAAATGTAAGAATGCTCTGCAGTTATTACATGGGTTACTTGAATACCATCAGTAGATAGTACTTGCTGTCATTATGTCAAATGTAAGAATGCTCTGCAGTTATTACATGGGTTACTTGAATACCATCAGTAGACAGTACTGGCTGTCATTATGTCAAATGTAAGAATGCTCTGCAGTTATTACATGGGTTACTCTGATTACCATCAGTAGACAGTACTGGCTGTCATTATGTCAAATGTAAGAATGCTCTGCAGTTATTACATGGACTACTTGAATACCATCAGTAGACAGTACTGGCTGTCATTATGTCAAATGTAAGAATGCTCTGCAGTTATTACATGGACTATGCTACTTGAATACCATCAGTAGACAGTAGACATGAATACCATCAGTAGACAGTAGACAGTAGACAGCAATTATGCATGGAACCAGTAAACAAGTACTTTCTATAAATAGCAAACAATGTTTCATGTTTTCAGAGATGCTGTATTAAAGTGTTTGCTTAATGAAGAAAGATTCGACAACTTGTCTTCTCGTTGATATGTTGGTTTGAGAGGAAGACAAACACAGCGAGGGACGTGTATCAATATTGTGTGAGCACACATGTAATGAGAAGAGGCCATACTGCCTCCCAGATACAGTAGGATGGACTCACTGCCGCATTAACTGTGTCAACATGACACGATCAATGAGCCAGGACGTCATGAGTGGCACCATTCACAGAGTGTGTACTTCTGTAATGGACGACCTTCAGCATTAGCCTGTGTCTCTTTCATGGAATGGTCACCCAAGCCAAGCACAAAACGCTTCTGTAGCTTGATCTTGTCTAAATATAGGGGTATATCTAGTGGGTGGCTACAGTAGCTTGATCTTGTCTAAATATAGGGGTATATCTAGTGGGTGGCTACAGTAGCTTGATCTTGTCTAAATATAGGGGTATATCTAGTGGGTGGCTACAGTAGCTTGATCTTGTCTAAATATAGGGGTATATCTAGTGGGTGGCTGCAGTAGCTTGATCTTGTCTAAATATATATATCTAGTGGGTGGCTGCAGTAGCTGGATCTTGTCTAGTGGGTAAATATAGGGGTATATCTAGTGGGTGGCTACAGTTGCTTGATCTTGTCTAAATATAGGGGTATATCTGGTGGGTGGCTACAGTAGCTTGATCTTGTCTAAATATAGGGGTATATCTAGTGGGTGGCTGCAGTAGCTTGATCTTGTCTAAATATAGGGGTATATCTAGTGGGTGGGTGGCTGCAGTAGCTTGATCTTGTCTAAATATAGGGGTATGTCTAGTGGGTGGCCACAGTAGCTTGATATCTAGTGTCTAAATATAGGGGTATATCTAGTGGGTGGCTACAGTAGCTTGATCTTGTCTAAATATAGGGGTATATCTAGTGGGTGGCTACAGTAGCTTGATCTTGTCTAAATATAGCTTGATCTTGGGTATATATCTAGTGGGTGGCTACAGTAGCTTGATCTTGTCTAAATATAGGGGTATATCTAGTGGGTGGCTACAATAGCTTGATCTTGTCTAAATATAGGGGTATATCTAGTGGGTGGCTGCAGTAGCTGGATCTTGTCTAAATATAGGGGTATATCTAGTGGGTGGCTACAGTAGCTTGATCTTGTCTAAATATAGGGGTATATCTAGTGGGTGGCTACAGTAGCTTGATCTTGTCTAAATATAGGGGTATATCTAGTGGGTGGCTACAGTAGCTTGACCTTGTCTAAATATAGGGTATATCTAGTGGGTGGCTACAGTAACTTGATCTTGTCTAAATATAGGGGTATATCTAGTGGGTGGCTGCAGTCTTCGGTGGGATGAAATTACCACATGCTGCTGGAATCAGTCAGAGGCAGTTCATGCCCTGTCGTCCTGAGTTTGGCTATACACTCAGTCCACGGAGGCCCCTTCTCAATGTCTACCCACAAAAATCAATATTTCCTACATCCAGAAATGTCAAAATAGCTGCACATCTGCAGCCATTTCAAAAGTTTGAAGTTTGTAATCCAATTTAATAATGCTTCAGGTGGAATTCTTTTAATCCATACGCAAGGCCAAGATGAGTGCTGTATCTCCTGTCAATGAATCATCCCCAGCCTATTGAGCAAGTATTGCTGCATCTCACAATGGCTCTCATCAATCACATCAATAACACTGAGAGCCTTTGCAAAACAAAACAACCACGTTTAAATCTGTGACAATGAAACATTACTTAAACTAAAATAAAGATTAATGTTCAACACAAACAAAGATCATTTTCCTTCACCATAGCAAGTTTTAATCAGTGATGGACCAGCTCTAGATACATGGCATAGGAACGTGTGTGGCTTGTCAGCCGATATATACAATAACAACTACACAGTCATTACTACACACATATATACAATGTTATACACTTTACAATGCAGGAGATAATGTGGGACACGAGATATCACGCACTCAGGCATTACATACATCATGATACATTCTCAGTGACAGTAGTTTTCTTCACTACACAATGTATACTCATATATACAGAAATAAATAGTTCTAGAAGAACACAAACACTTCAACAAAAGCAGCTTGAAAACATTCTAGAAATGGCCATTACACCTCAGGAGAACCCTTTCACATTGCGTGGAAGAAACAAATGCTTGAAGGTCTTTTTCATAGTCAGTGTCTGTGAAAGGGATTATTCCTCCAGTCAATGTATTTACAGTTTCCCCAAAATACAATACAAGAAATGATGTCTACACTTTACTTTCATCAGCCACTAAACCCACAGGGATGATCCTAGCAAGATATATGCAACTTGGTACCTAAACAGAATTAATTGTAAAAACATCTTGAGGGAGTAATGTTCCAGAGCATGGACTTTTTGAGTGAGGCGCTTTTTTTTATCCTTCTTTTTTGTCCTGTTTCTTGTCTGTGGTGTCTATGTACAGTAACCATGGAAACCCGAATATATAGCGACACTGACTGACTTGACAATAAATAAACACTGGTATGTACAAGGAAGACGTGACAGAGGGGGTCCACGTTTAGGCTTATAGAGGGTGACAGAGGGGGTCCACGTTTAGGCTTATAGAGGTGACAGAGGGGGTCCACGTTTAGGCTTATAGAGGTGACAGAGGGGGTCCATGTTTAGAATAATAGAGGGTGACAGAGGGGGTCCATGTTTAGAATTATAGAGGGTGACAGAGGGGGTCCACGTTTAGGCTTATAGAGGGTGACAGAGGGGGTCCACGTTTAGGCTTATAGAGGGGTGACAGAGGGGTCCACGTTTAGGCTTATAGAGGTGACAGGGGTCCACGTTTAGGCTTATAGAGGTGACAGAGGGGTCCATGTTTAGAATAATAGAGGGTGACAGAGGGGTCCATGTTTAGAATTATAGAGGGTGACAGAGGGGTCCACGTTTAGAATTATAGAGGGTGACATAGAGGGTGACAGAGGGGTCCACGTTTAGGCTTTATAGAGGGTGACAGAGGGGTCCACGTTTAGGCTTATAGAGGGTGACAGAGGGGGTCCACGTTTAGGCTTATAGAGGTGACAGAGGGGGTCCACGTTTAGGCTTATAGAGGTGACAGAGGGGGTCCATGTTTAGAATTATAGACGGTGACAGAGGGGGTCCATGTTTAGGCTTATAGAGGGTGACAGAGGGGGTCCATGTTTAGAATTATAGAGGGTGACTGGAGGGGGTCCCAGGGCTAGTCAGCACGTGTGCGGACATGTTGATGGAGCAAGACCTGATGTGTTTACAGCCTTGGGGTACAGTCATTTAAATCTAATACTGTTATAGCAGCTAAGGTTACAGCTGTAGAAATCCATAAGCAGATATCATCTGTTTCTTCTGAAGTATTTGTACAAAGTGATTACTTTTAAAGAAAAAGATGTCTCGAACATCAACATGCAACAAACGCAACCATGTGAGGTGGGAAGTTCTGTTGGTGATGAGCTCTATGAATCTATTCTGGCCCCATGTACAGACATCAGCATAACAAAGGCTGGTTACATCAGAGCCCTACTGCTATTGTGATGTTCATGGCTTCCCCCGAATGTGCTCCAAATAAACATGTTGACTAGTTAACACCGGCTTCCACCTTCTTTAGATGTCTTACACTAGTGAGTGTCTCTCAGACTAGGAAGCCATTACTGCCTGAGTTAACAGGTTATCCAACTTGGCAGATGACAGCACCGTTGGAAGCCATTACTGCCTGAGTTAACAGGTTATCCAACTTGGCAGATGACAGCACCGTTGGAAGCCATTACTGCCTGAGTTAACAGGTTATCCAACTTGGCAGATGACAGCACCGTTGGACTTGCTAAGGTCTTGTCAGTGAGTCTTGAACCCATGAATTTATGCTGAAATGACCTAGTGTTTCAAATGCTTATAAATAACCATAGAAATTGTTCGCAGATATTTATCTAAGTTAGTAAACACTCTTAGATGTCCACAGAATTGGCTGTATGAAGAGAGCGCGTGAGAGCCAGGCAGGTGTGATCCAGGGGCAACCTGGCACAAACCATAGTCATTCAGGCCAGCAGGATCTGCCAGCTTCAAATCAATCCTTATACCCTACCACTTCTCTAAGAACACCTGAAACTGTCCCTCCAGTCAACCCATATACTTTCCCACTTTACTAAAACACTTGAAACTGTCCCTCCAGTCAACCCATATACTTTCCCACTTTACTAAAACACTTGAAACTGTCCCTCCAGTCAACCCATATACTTTCCCACTTTACTAAAACACTTGAAACTGTCCCTTCAGTCAACCCATATACTTTCCCACTTTACTAAAACACTTGAAACTGTCCCTTCAGTCAACCCATATACTTTCCCACTTTACTAAGAACACCTGAAACTGTCCCTCCAGTCAACCCATATACTTTCCCACTTTACTAAGAACACTTGAAACTGTCCCTCCAGTCAACCCATATACTTTCCCACTTTACTAAAACACTTGAAACTGTCCCTCCAGTCAACCCATATACTTTCCCACTTTACTAAAACACTTGAAACTGTCCCTCCAGTCAACCCATATACTTTCCCACTTTACTAAAACACCTGAAACTGACCCTCCAGTCAACCCATATACTTTTCCACTTTACTGAGAACACCTGAAACTGTCCCTCCAGTCAACCCATATACTTTCCCACTTTACTAAGAACACCTGAAACTGTCCCTCCAGTCAACCCATATACTTTCCCACGTCACTAAGAACACCTGAAATTGTCAATCAGGAACACATATGCACTGAATGACAGTCCTAAACATTGTTCCAATGTTATGAATTGTATTTGTGGTAAGAGTGTTTTAAAGACACAAGGTTAAAACATATCCTAACACAACAATATGATCGATATCATATACCCCCTGCAATGTAGATTAAAGTCTATCTCAGTTTATGAACTTTACATTTCCCATCAAGTCAGTCTTACTGTAATGTTACATTGTCTAAATAATGAATGTATACTACTCACACTTTGCTAAGGATCACAAAAATTCCCAACTTTACTTAAACATAGAGTTATAATTTGAAATTGTATCCATTTAAAACTGGATAAATAATAATATGGTAGGTAACCCTTCTTTAGGCAAACAGCCACTTTAATCTAACCTTATGCACTTGATACATGAGTAACCATAAAAATAGTTTTCATGGAACCAATCAACCATTTTGCAAATCATGGAATGAGTCATTGACAAGTACACAACAATTGTCAATATTAGGTATGGGATCCACAAGATGCAGTGACATACTGAAACCTAGGATCCATGCTTACAATAAGCTTAGATATTTAAACCAAATTAGACCCCACATTATAGCTTTCTGTTGAATCAGTGATTTGATCCTTAGCAAAGTGTGAATAGTATATGAGACTTTGCACAGGTTCAGCATCTCCTATCTCACTGGAGATCCTTTACTATTAAAACTGAGTTCTCTACTTCTATCAATATTATATATTTTCTGTGATTAAACGTTCGTCTACTGTTGTATTGACATCAACTATAGTAATGAACCAGCTGAGTGAGTGTTCTCCAGTTCCATGCTGGCAGCACCAGGAATGAGCTGTTGAAAGACCCTCGTCTGTTGACTGTAAGTCCGTCTGTGTACTGTGCTGCAGCTATGTGGCAGCCCAGTGTTATGAGAGGACTGAGCCCCAGACCAGGCACATGTCCCCCATTCTGTCAATGTCAGGGTACTGTGCTGCAGCTATGTGGCAGCCCAGGGTTATGAGAGGACTGAGCCCCAGGCCAGGCACATGTCCCCCTGTATGTTAATGTCAGGGTACTGTATGCTGCAGCCATAATTAATGTTTCTGCTTACAGTGACAGTTCTAATGATTATCCTGGAATAACAGGATAACTTGTTACTGATAGTAAGAGTGACACATTTCAAAAACACAAAGGTAACAGTTCTCCCGCAAAAAGCAGACAACATAATATTCTACGGGACAGAAGAACTAAAAGTCCTAGTAAGGTCTTGAACATGTTACTCATACTGACAACAGACCCAGGCCTATGTGTGCTCCCCCATGGGGTGTACAGCTGTACATGATGTGGACGTAGCACGTCAGTAAGATATGGAAGCAGTAATGAGAAGACATACGGCCAGTTCTTCATTGTGTTAAAACCATCTTAATGGTGCTAGCTATGAACCAGAAGACAAGCTTGATACCCTCAGTTGAGCTGCAGTGTGACAAACTCTACTGTATTACCATCCCCTCTGTACAGGATAGCCCCACCCCTCTGTACAGGATAGCCCCACCCCTCTGTACAAGATAGCCCCACCCCTCCAGTCATGAGGGGGTCAGGTAATCTCCTTCAGGGTTGGGGGTCTCTGTATACTGTTTTTCTTGATGCTCTCCACCAGCCAGTGGATTCCCTCATTGACACCGTCCCTGCAAAATACAAAACAGACAGCTTACCACCAGCTCCACATTCACTCTGAGTGAATAATGTTTTGTGCTCCAGTCAGCAATATACTTGCAATAGACTTCCATTGGTTACAGCAGTTTAAACCTGTGCCAGCATGAGCAGTGGTCGCCATCAGAGAATGATGCAACTTTATCAGCGAGGACATGTATTGTTCCAGCCTCAACTGTTACAACTGGCACAGAGTGTTGGGAACCTAGTCCATCTTTAGTAGCACCTTTATTAGGATGCAGTGTTACAGGTCAAACTAGACAAACACGTGGGCCTTGGCCACATAAAACAAAACATAAATTATTGGAATGCTGCAAGTTCAGAGTCTCTAATGGAGTCTGAGCTCAGCTGGTATTTGGACGTGTTTTGTGGTAATCAAAATACTGCTCGGGACACTTCAAATAGAGAGTGGTCCCAGTGCACATCACTTCCATCTCATTTCATTCAATTTGCAAATAGTTCAGGTTCTTACAATTTTGTAAGTCTAACAAAGGTAGACAATGGGTAATGGGAAAACATAAAAGAGTGTGTCTGATTAGTTGAAAATAGGATTATGAGATTTAAAAAGAAAAAAACATAGGAAATCAAGGAGTACTTCATGGTAACCTGTTAGTGTTATGACTGAGGGTGTTTGGAGAACGTAGACTACATTCTATTACTATCTGGTACCCAGTTTCTGCCTAGCACCATTCTGCATTACAATTGGTGTGGTGTGTAAAAACGGAGACACTTTCTGTGTACTTAGTGTGGTGTGTAAAACAGAGGCACTATCTGTGTAATTAGTCTGTGCTTGATCAATAACCCTAAAAATGAACTTGCAGTCAAATATTGCTGTGAGGAATTTCATTTGCAGTCACGTCCAATAAGCCTGAGTAGGTTCTGTTTATATTGCAATGGCATTACAACCATAATATATTTTTTGTGAGTGCTTTGTCGCATGTGTCCAGGGAATGAACTGTGTTGCATGACTGTCCTCTATTCAAGAATAGTTCATCTCAGGATTTACGTTGCCTCTTTACACAATGATGTTTGAAAGCCAGCCCAGTCCAACCTGGAGGTCCACTAAATGGAGGAGGGATAGTGTAACCATGCCATTGACCTGTATCACTGGGGTGACACAGCATGTCAACATGACGGACATACGCCAGAAAAAACTACCTAGGAATAAATATTGTTGACAAAATATTATACTGTAAGTCTACAAAACAATGATTATGTTTGAACTTTAATTAGTCCAATGTTGACTACACACAATCCAGAATAGCTTGTTTCAGCAAGTCCTTTCTAAATGAGTTGACACTACATCATGTGAAACGAGTTTCCTAGGGAGCAATCTCTACACACCTGTTCAGGAGAGTGGGAAGCTCTAGGGAATAATGAGGCTTCAACATAGGTAAGTCACGTGTTATTTTGACTGGAGATAGGAACATGTGTTGGGGTGAAGTCTTATGTAAACCTGTTATAAGCAGGTATCAAGTATCCCTCTCTACACACAACTGCCTCTCCATCACATGGGAACAACTGCCTCATCTCTCAAACAGGGCAGCTGCCTTGCCTTTCTAATACAGGCCCTTATTCTCGAAACGATCGTAACCCTAAGAATTCTTAACTTTGATCGTAGGCAATGTGTTAAGAATGGGTAAGAAGTTCGTAGGGCTACGAACGTTTCGAGAATAGCTAGCCAGGCCCTTATTAATTTGGACCACTGTTTACTTCTCAGCTAGGACCACTGCCTCCCTTATCAACTAGGACCACTACCTCCCTCTCTACTAGGACCACTGCCTCCTTAACGAGGACCACTGCCTCCCTTCTCAACTAGGACCACTGCCTCCTTCTCTACTAGGACCACTGCCTTCTTCTGAACTAGGACCACTGCTTCCTCATCTAGGACCATTGTCTCTTTCTCTAGTAGGACCACTGCTTCCTTCTCAGCTAGAACCACTATCTCCTTCTCAACTAGTACCACTGCATCCTACTCGTCTAGGACCACTGCCTCCCTTCTCAACTAGGACCACTGCCTCCTTCTCTACTAGGACGATTGCCTCCCTTCTCTACTAGGACGATTGCCTCCCTTCTCTACTAGGACCGATTGCCTCCTTCTCTACTAGGACCACTGCCTCCTTCTCTACTAGGACCACTGCCTCCTTCTCTACTAGGACCACTGCTTCCTTCTCAACTAGGACCACTGCCTCCTTCTCTACTAGGACCACTGCTTCCTTCTCAACTAGGACCACTGCCTCTTTCTCTACTAGGACCACTGCTTCCTTCTCAACTAGGATCACTGCCTCTTTCTCTAGTAGGACCACCGCTTCCTTCTCATCTATCTAGGACCACTGTCTCCTCATCTAGGACCACTTCCTCCTTATGAACTAGGATCAATGCCTCCCCATAATTTAGGACCACTGCCTCCCCATAATCTAGGACCACTGTCTCCTCATCTAGGACCATTACCTCCTTCTCATCTAGGACCACTTCCTCCTTATGAACTGAGACCAATGCCTCCCCATAATCTAGGACCACTGTCTCCTACTCATCTAGGACCACTGCCTCCTTCTCTACTAGGACCACTGCCTTCTTCTGAACTAGGACCACTGCCTCCTCATCTAGGACCATTGTCTCTTTCTCTAGTAGGACCACTGCTTCCTTCTCAACTAGAACCACTATCTCCTTCTCAACTAGTACCACTGCATCCTACTCGTCTAGGACCACTGCCTCCCTTCTCAACTAGGACCACTGCCTCCTTCTCTACTAGGACGATTGCCTCCTTCTCTACTAGGACCACTGCCTCCTTATCGAGGACAACTGCTTCCTTCTCAACAAGGACCACTGCCTCCTTCTCAACTAGGACCACTGCCTCCTTCTCTACTAAGACCACTGCTTCCTTCTGACCTAGGACCACTGCCTCCTTCTCTAGTAGGACCACTGCCTCCTTCTCTACTAGGACCACTGCCTCCTTCTGAACTAGGACCACTGCCTCCTCATCTAGGACCATTGTCTCCTTTTCAATTAGGACCACTGCATCCTACTCGTCTAGGACCACTGCCTCAACTAGGGGCTATTACCTTCCCTTTAACAGAGGCCACTGCCTAATATCTCTACCAGGGTTCACTAACTCTTCTCTCAACTAGGGTGAAATCCTCACATCTACTGCTCTCTCTCTAAACTCTCATCAAGCCGGAATTCAACTGACAAAGCTTTTAGCAACTATACTGGTGTGTTCTTCTTGATGTAATTTTTATTAACTAACATCAAGTCATATGATCATTTTGATCACACTGAAATAAGAATACTATAATTATTCCTGGAATAATATATGACGAAACACGATCAGAACCTGGTCTTATGTTGTGTGTTATGGTGCTCATCGGTTGCACACAGTGAACACTGTTTGTGTCTATAGCAATCTTATCTATTTAAACCATCAAACTGTCTGTGTAAAGGTAGAGGAAGGGAACACATCTAGGTATCCGAGATCCTACTTCAAATGTTATAGACAATCAAATGAGCACATAAAAAGGAGGACTTGGCAAGCTGCCTGACACATTATCTAGTTATTGGAAGCCTGCATAACAAGCGTCAACTTTATTATTCAACTAAAGCACTTTACAGTGATTACAGGGTGTGTTGTTGCTCTATCCTCAACTTCAGCTTCATAAACAATGGCGCGCTTTGCAAGAATTGATGCATACTTCACTGCATTCTCTAATTCATGTTAATGTATTGCGTAATGTAAATATAAACACAAAAGTGATAATTGACAAGGTAGGAGAGCCAACGTTAGGATGGTTCATAATAATAGAGCCTATGCTTACACATATTAATGTAAGAGTATACTCAACTTCCAAGTATTGTACGAGTACATGTGGCTTACGAGAGACTATTGTGTATGAATATACTGTTACAAGGCAGTGTTATACGTTATGTTATGTAAATTGGAGGGGTGGTTGGGGGGTTGCCTCGAGACTTACAGCAAATATAACAGATGTGGCATGTGACCAGTGTACTCAGTGGAACAATGTTTCAACTGTGGAACATAAACCTGTCGGTCGGAGTTCTGCTATGTGTTTACACTTTACCAGATTTAGTCATAATGATCTGGACAGATCTACAAAGAGCTTGTTCCAGAATCAGCTGCCTAAAAAAAAAGAGGCATAGAAGGGAAGTGAACTTTGGCCTCACATCTCATCTCAAGTTAGTAGAAGACCAGCATTACATAATGTAAGAGTATACTTGGCTTACATGTGACTATGATGTAAGAGTATACTCATCTTAAATGTGACCATAATGTAAGGGTATATTTGGCTTACATGTGACTATAATGTAGGTGTATACTTGGCTTACATGTGACTATAATGTAGGAGTATACTCTGCTTACATGTGACTATAATGTAAGAGTATACTCTGCTTACATGTGACTATAATGTAGGTGTATACTTGGCTTACATGGGACTATAATGTAGGAGTATATTCTGCTTACATGTGACTATAATGTAACAGTATACTTGGCTTACATGTGACTATAATGTAGGAGTATACTTGGCTTACATGTGTCTATAATGTAGGAGTATACTTGGCTTACATGTGACCATAATGTAAGAGTATACTCTGCTTAAATGTGACCATAATGGAAGAGTATACTCTGCTTAAATGTGACTATAATGTAAGACTATACTCTGCTTAAATTTGACTATAATGTAAGAGTATACTCGACTTACATCATAAATGTAACATGTGACCATAATGTAAGAGTATACATGGCTTACATGATACTCGGCTTACGAGTTACCTTAAAGCAAGAATATATTCAGCTGAAGAGAGACTATAAAGTTAGAATACACTAAGCTTATGAGTAACTATAATATAAAGGTATTCTCAACTTAATATGCTAAATATACAATATGCTAATATTTGTATAGCAACCACTGCCCAGCTCAGCTGCTCAAAGGCGCTTGTTTTCCCTCGATCATTGGATGTC